GGGCTGGGAGAGCTCCTGCGGCTCCTTCCCCTAGGGCATGTCGCCTCGTCCGAGCTGTGTTTGAGAGTGCCCGGCGGCGCCTGGGCAAAGCCGTGTTTCCAGCGGTGTTTTTCCGAACGGGAGACTCGCACCAGGCGCGCGGGACTGCAAAGGAGGGGCGAAGGGGTGCTGAGAATTCAGGGGTCTGCCAGGTTACAAAACCCTGCAAGCCCTTCTCCGAGAGGAAAGTCAGTTGGTAGCTGCCAGTAGGAGAGGGAAGCAGCAAGGAAGGCAGGTTACAGGCTTTAGCAAGGGGAGGCACAGGTGGGGAGAGCAGAGCTGCCCGGTGCTGCCACAGCCAGTGCCCGCTGGCCCTGCGAACCAAGTGAGAGAGATTGTGCTGCAAGAACACACGGAGAGAAACGTGACTGTCCTCAGAAACCGGTCGTGATGGTCATACTTGAGTAAGCAGGTCAGCGTTCAGCGTTTAAATCTATGTTAGGCCGCTAGGAGGTGACAGAGCCCTCTTAGTTAATTTCCATCAGCAGGCATTTTTACGCAGTGCCTTTAAATAGGATATTTGTATGTTTTAAACCTGCTGTATGTTTCAGTTCTCTCTGCATCCTCCTGTTAACACAGTTTGAAGGCACTGGTGCCCTGTGCTGCTGGTAGCGCTGTGCGTGGGGAACAAACCTGTGGGGTCACGGTCCAGCTTTGCCTTTGCCCTCCTCCCATGGAATGGTTTTTGGGGGATTGGCTGAACTGCCACCGGTTTTGTTACAGGGAAGGGTATTTATGGCTTATAGCCAGTGTATGCTTGTTAGCAGGGCAGATCTTATTGGTTATTCTGATACGGTTTGTCACCGTAAGCCCAGGATGGGCGTTGGAGATGTTATTACAATTTATTACAAACTCGTATTGACAGATTGAGGTCTGGGATCAGCATAGGGACTGATTAGGATGATGTAAGAAGTGAATGGTGAAGCCTTTTAAAGTATGGTTTGAACCTCAGTAGCCAAATTCTGAGGCAAATTTCATCGGACTGTGACTGAGCACTGAGGCCCCCGTGAGAAGTGCAGGCTGTAGTGTCCGGCAGGAGTGACAAAGGACAGCTTGCTATGGTCACCACAGCTTTGGATGTACTGGTGGTGGGAGGAGCAGAAGCCTTAATGCCACAGTCATATGCTTTTATTCTCTATGGTACAGTCTAATGGAACAGGAAAGAAGTTTGCCAATTAGCATAAGCAACAGAAAGACGCGGAAATTATACTTTATTTAAAGACATACTTTTCATTAAAAATTTAAGATTTTCCATCTAACATGATCAATTTCTCTTAATTGGCCTGTTGCCCTTGAAATCTGTTGCTCCAAGATTTTGATTATCTCAACCTGAATACTTCTTCTTGTTTTTAATATGTAGCCATTAAATTTTAAACCAGACAGCCTAGCTTTAATAGAACAAAGAGATAAACTTTCAGCTATTTTTCGATTATTATTTCTACAGTCTATGTGGTTTTCAGACAGAAGTAATGTCGATTGGAGAAGCGGTTTTGTTTTGTATGCAGACTTCAAGGGCTACTTTTCCCGTGAAACACATGAGGGCAGCAAAGTACTTCTGAAATGTAGTTGCAAACCACACAGCTTTCATTTTTATTTTAATTAAAATAAATAACCCCCAAACAAACAAGCAAAAAAGTTACCTCCTGTTTTGGGAAAATAGATATATCTCGGATTGATTTGCATTAGAAATTCTGTATTGTAAAGGAAGAGGAAAAGGTTTGTTTCCCCTGGATTTGCCCTCTGTGTACTAAATAGATATTTCAATTCATCTTGTTCAGGAGGAGAGATTATAAGAAAAGTCAGTGTCTCCTCTGGTGACTGGCTCAGGGGGAAGAAAGTGTAACAAACAAACAGTGGTAGGCAACTGACAGCTGAAGTGTTTCAGAAGGTTTTATTTTTCCACTGAACTACCTACCGTGCCATAAAAACATTTCGTGCCTGTGCTCAGATGAACAAAATCCCACCAAAGTACACAGAGAGCTCAGTCTACAGGCATGCAGTGCCTGCTCTGCTTTGAATTACTCAAATATATTTAGCCATGCTTCATTAAGATAAAAAGAAAATGCACTTGTAAAAATATTATCAGAATAAGGCCTATAAAAAGAATAGGGTATAGAGGTGTTTGGTGGGTATGTTGTTTTGGGTTTTCTGTTTGGTTGAGTTTTTAAAGGCTTCATTGATGCAGATAAGCCATAAAATAGTTACACTAGTCAGCAGAGACAGATGATGAAAATATTTTTATGCTTTTTTTCCCCCCCCAGGAACTCCAATTTAGAATTTTATAATTGTAAATGTTTTTTAAAAATACTTTTTAATGAAATTTTATCCCTGTTCTATCTATTTAGTATTTGATAAGCTGGAACAATGCATTCTAAGGGAAAAAGCAATGAGGAATATATATTTAGGAACCTCTAAAGTCATTGTAAGATGTTTTCTTTAAATGAGGATATTCCTTTATTAAGAGAATTTGCTTCCCATCAGCTGCAAAACACCCATTGCTAAAATTTCTCATGACACAGCAGTGTTATTAGTGGGTGGGTTTTTATAGTATTACAGGTTCAGATTGAAAGTTCATGTTAATATTTACTTGTCAGACTATTTTTTTTTTCCTCCAGTGATTTTTGCTTAGCTGTTTGAAATAGTTAATTAAGTTTGGTTGGACAGCCTAGCTTCAGTGCCCCCTAGCCTCTGTGTTTATAATTAGCATAGCAAACAGGGAAAAATACAAGACATTACTTCTAAATTGGAGAGAGGTATGCCAAGGATGGGTGTTGTTGCTCCTAAGGACATTAATGAGATGTATTAGTGAACCTTCAGGTAAGAGTGATGCCATTATAGCACTTTGGGAGGTATTACCTTAGCAGCAGTTTGGACTTCTGTTATAGGTGTACAAGATGTATAACAAATGGAAAATAAATCCATTTCTGTTGTGTGGTCTTCAGCCTCAGAGAGAAAATGTCTAAATCCAGCAGATGGAGCTAAGTGCCCTTTCTTAAAAAGGCTTGTGGGGAAAAATTATGTCTGAGGATTTGCTTATTTTAAGACCTTGCAGAGGTGTTGTTTGCCAATACAGTTGCACTGGTAACTATTATTAAATGTAAGCAAAGCAAGTGAGAATTGCAATCTTGGGATGAAATCTATTCCTGTGAGGGTAAGTGTGTGGTGTTGATATAGCCAATGTTCAGAAGTTGTCTTTTCTGAGCCTCAAGGTGGACTTTTTAAAATTTGTGAGAAGCAAAGAAATTTACACATGGGAGCACTTGGGTTTGTTTGCAGGAATAACCAAACTGTGCCAGGGGCTGTTTTAGGTAGATCATGACAAACATCTGTGTTGACTATGAAATCTCTCCTGGTGGAATTATCTCCCTTCCCAAATAATGAACTAACTGTAGGATCTGCTTCTCAAACCTGACTTATCTGTATCTCAGAGAAATAAATCTCTAAATATCTTAAACACCAGTAAGTATCTAGCTCCTTTAAGGAGGTTTTTCTTCAATCTTGTCAGTAAGGGATGAATTATGAATGAAAAAGGCTCACAGTGGAGCTAATAATTCAAAATCAAACAGTGAATAAAAAAAAAATGCAGAAAAGAACGGCACCTGTTCTGAGTGAGAATGAAATAAACGTTTTGTCAGATTTAGGGATCTGAGAATTGTCTTTTCTCTGAGAAATCTGATTTGCTGATACTCTGATTTTCTGCCTTCATTGCCAGTCCCACTTTCTACTACAAATTCACATTTAATATTCTCAGCTGAGAAAATTTCTCATATCCAGGTCATTCAAGCCTTATTTTCTTGTTGGCTTTTTGGTTTTTTTTTTTCAGTCCTTTTAAAATTTAATTATCTACAGAAAGAGGGTTAAGTGGTCAGCTTTTCAGGAGGAATTTCAGGTGATATTTGGTGAAGCTTGGCCTATGTGCACAAGTATTGATAAACATTTTTTCACTCTAGTTGTTCTGATTTCTTCCACCAAACTGTTTGACCATGGGATGTGGACAAAGGACTTATATGTAGAAGTAATGCTGTTTTACAGAGTCTGTTTTGCAGATTTCTGTAAATGCTGCAGTTAATTTGTTTGTATATCCTTCATGAATTCCTTATCAGTGACTTTGTTGCTAGAAGAATCCAGCAAGAGATTAGGAGGGCTTTCAAAATTCACCTGAAAGAGGAAACAAAATTAAAGAAAGAAGCACCATTTAGGAATCAAGGTATTTCTATCCTACACAGATTCTTGTGCTCCTTTTTGGAGGATCTGCTTGCTGGCTTTCTCCATGGGTGATTATAACTCAAAAATGCTATTGAATCATCCCAATCTTATATTCTTTCTGTTTCATATTCAATATGTTCCTCTTTTATTTTACTGTGGAACTTAAAAGAACGGATTTTACAGTCACATTGATGTGAATCAGTTGTGACTTACTGCTGTGATTATAATACTATTGGAGTTATACTTTGTCCCTGTAGTGCTCTTTATCCATAGAGCTCCAATGCCCTTTGTGGGAAGGTCAACAATGTAAAACCAATGTCAAATTTGCACCTCAGGCATGAGGTCTGTGTCCATGACTAACCTGTGCACAGAAATAGAGGGTCTGTTTTACATCAATGGTTGAGTTTTTTATTGTATAAAGTTTTGCTAGAAGGTTGTTTTGTTCCTTTAGACTTTGGTCTAAAAGGCTTTCATGCAAGAGGAGTGACAGTCCTGCCTTCCCTGCTGCTGCTTGTGTGAAATGCACCTACACATTGCCACTATTTCCATATGTGCTGCTAATGAGAATGTGCTTTTCTAAAGTCTTACAGCTGTGACACACTAGGAGGGTATTAGGACCCAGCTGCCTGTTGAAAATGGGAGGATTAGTATGCAGGAAAATAGATTTAGAGAAAGAGGTATAGGACTATGCCCTTGTTTACCTCTTTTGTTGCCATAGGAAGCACACAACCTGCCATGGTTGTCATCTTCAGTCTGCATCTATGGCTGGTGGAGGGGTGCCATGTCATTATCCTGGTATTTTAATCACAGAATGGATGGGATTGGAAGCAGCCACTGGCATTCATCTAGTCCAGCCTCACTGCTCAAGCAGGGTCCCCTAGACCATGTTTACTGAGGATTTGAGGTTTCCAGGTGACTTTGAATATCTCCACGGAAGGAGACTCCATGTCCTCTCCAGTCAATCTGTACAAGTGCTCAGTCACCTGCACAGTAAAGTTTTTTACTCATGTTCAGGTAGAACTTCCTGTGCATCAGGTTCTGCCCACTGCATCTTGTCCTGTTGCTTGGCACCACCGAGCGGAGCCTGGCTCTGTCCTTCTGTCACCCTGCCTTCAGATACAGATTGATGAGGTCCCAGATTGATTGATTGTCAGTTGTCTCTTCTCAAGGCTGAGCAGGCCCACCTCCCTCTTCCTTTTCTCATAA